ATTAATGTAAATTATATATATTATTTTATAACTTATGTATGTATCGAAAATACCAAAAAAGTACTTTATATGATTTACTGTTGTAGTGTTGTCATTTTAGGAATACCTTGTTTTAATTTGTTTTATTCTGCTTGTTTTTGTAAGCAGTACCAACACAAATGGGTGCTCCAGTTCGTTGTCTTAGAGGTATATTATACTAGGTACTAAAAATTTATATTCATATAATGAATATAAATAATATATATAATAATTCATATAAGTATCAATTGACTAAACTTTTTTAAACAAGCTTTAGGACACTAATGATATAATAAAGGTAATATAATATTTCAAATGTATATTTAGGTAATTTTCAGTGGTCGCCACTTATTTGACTCACTTAGGGTTCAAACCGTTTCAGTCCATTCACCGAATTATCCAATGAGTGGAAAAGGCACCAAGAAATATTTTGTATTCTTTGTATTTTAAAATATTTATTTAGATTTTAGTTATTATTTAATATTATTTATAATAATAAAAATAATTTATGGATATTTAATTAAATACATATGTTCAATAAAAAATAAAGTAGTAAAATATTACTTGTACACTCGTACGCTAGGTAACCTACCTGACAATTTCTTAATAAAAATCCATCCAAATTTGAAATACAAATACCATMTTGAAATATAAAGTCWAAATCTTGATATTTCTACTCAGAATATTACTTAAAAGTTAAAATATATAGGTACATAAATGTTATATTATTATGTATGYATTTTAGTTTTTMACATTATTGAGATAATGAGATATTTTTTTATTGAATACCTATTCTATGTGAGGTACCTCATAAAGTTTTCTTAGTAGAAAATAAAAAAATGTTAAGAGTAAATCTCCAGTACTTACATTTTTATAAGCAYGTGAAGTTAAAATTGTGAAAATTTGCAATTTCTTTGGTAGTTAGTAGAAATTCATTAACATTTTTTGTATTCATAGCTTTTACACATTATCACACATACATTTTTGGAATCTTTTAAGTTGAAGCACAGTAGCATCAGACTAAGTATATGAAATCTGTAATTGCAAATTTCCTTTACCTATTATAACAAGGTGAAATTATTCATTTGATGCAGTAAAAAAAAATAATTGCACATAAGGAAACTGTAAAATCTTCATTTATTGAATTAAAACTTCAACAGCCAACAAAAAAGATGGGTATTTTAGAAGACTACTGTTTTGTTATGGAACCGCTTGCCATTTCACTTGATAAGTTACAATCTGAATAATCTTTTTTTTGGGTTATGTCCCACCTACCATCATTTCGTTAAGAGTTATATTAATTCAAAAGACAAATTTAATATATTGCAGACATTTAGCACTATCAAATATCAATTATTAAAAGCTTGAAACAAGATTTAGTTTTTTATTTGATTTAGAAAACATTAAAAGTAAGCCATATATCATTCCTTCAATATCTCATCCTATGTTTAAACTTTCACGGGTACCTAATTAATAGATATTTAACTTGCTGTAAAAATTTATTTTTGTCTGAATGCAATTTTATGAATTCATTAACTAATTCAGATTCTAATTCCATTGAAAATGATTCTGCTGGTAGTGATGACAAATGTTATGGTATTTTAACACAAAGTAAATATTCAATTGATTGTTCGGCTGCAGTTAGTGTACAGTTAAATGTAGATAGTACTAATGGCGGAACTGTACATGCACTATTTATTTAGATTCCAAAAATAAAGACTTGAAGTTGATCATGTTAAACACATTCCCAGTTTCCAAAAAACTATTTTTTAAATATAATACTACCACTCTCCCTTCTTCAGCACCAGTTGAGACTATTTAGTAGTGGATACCAAATCAAAATTTTTAGTGATCTTGGCACAAAACTGCCTCCTAGACCTAGACAACTGTAGAACTAAACTGATTTTTATGACATTTTTTGTGTTTGAGTGGGTCCCTGGATAATTTGGATTCACATTTGAACCTGGTATATGTCCAATCCAGAGTGCTGTGTAAATAGAGATTTTTATATTAACAACTGGTTTTTTTATATATAAATGTTTTCTATTGTTTACAGCCATAGGCGTGCGCACTTTGTTTACAGGGTATGCGGCAGATAAAATATGCCCTACTCCCGCAGATACAAAATAAATGACTCTAAAATTAATGTACATAACATTTCATCTTAAACATCTGGTTACTAATTTTTATTACAATAAAAATAGGCTTTTCATCTTTTTTTGAATAAAAACATTTTTTTTTTTAATTTAATGAGAAGCCTTTTTCATAAACATGTTTATTGAAATGAAAACATTCATCGCTCCGCTCAGAACCTTAAATGTTTATGAAGTAGTTAACTCAAAATAGTTTGGAAATTTTTATGATTTTATTCTAATACTTTAGACACCAATAGAAATATGTCCACAGATACTTGTTTGATTAACTAATATATGCTTTTGAAAATGGAAACTATAGGTACCTATACAATTTTTTATGATTTTCTGGTGGTGCAAAAATATAAGCTTGCACCACCCAATTTATGCCACTGTCAAAAACTACTTTGTAAAAATATCATTTTGTTCTTGGTATCAGGAAAGTTTAGTTGGAAGGTAGTTTGGACCATGTTTGATTTATACTAAATTGTCCATACTGTTTTATTTTTGCTTATTTCAATTCAACTGTTCTGCTAATTACAAGATCAGAACATGAGCCATTTTTTTTGATCAAGACAGTGTAATAAAAGATATTTTAAAAAATACAAAGGGTTTTTATGGTATAATGTATAGTTACAACATATTTATGATTCATGACATATTATATTTAATTAAAATAACATTTCTTAACATTGATCTTTAATTTTATAAGCTATGCTATTTGTTTAACTCAAATATAAAAAATTATCATTGTACAATATACTTATAACTTGTAATATATAGCTTAATACATACTATAACATAAATGTAAAACAAAATAATATTCTTCGAAAAAGAAGGTAAAATTACCCTATTTCCTTGTGCTTTAATCTGTTAAACTAAATAAAATTTTATATGATTTTTCAATTACTTTTTGTGTAAATKCTTTCTTTTTAAAATATTTTTACTGGTATCCCAATTAAATGGTTTATTAACGTTTTAATTGATTTGGCATCTACTTAATAATATTGCATGAGAAAAACATGTATTCAATTTTAGTATTTAAAGGGGTTAACTCCAGAATGAATCCTAATATCCAGTTTTATGTAGAAGCCATTTATTTAAATATTAAATTTACATCTGTTTTTCTCCAGGATGGATCCTTTTCAAGTGAGTCTTAAAATTATCAATACGTGAAAATGAGGAATTGCAAAAATTACATTTATGTGGTTTAACCCCAGTATGAATCATATTATGACGTTTTAAGAGTCCTTGGTGTAGAAAACTTTTATCACAAATATTACATTTAAATTGATTTTGTCCCGTATGAATCATAATGTGATATTTTAAATTATCCACCCTTGCAAATGATTTATCACAAAACTCACAATTATATGGTCTGTATCCAGTATGAGTTTTATAGTGACGTTTTAAGATTGTTTCATGTAAAATTGTCATATTACAAATATTGCATTTAAATTGTTTTTCTTTCGTATGCATATTAGTGTGCATTTCTAAATTACCTTTCCGTGAAAATGATTTATTACAAATATTGCATTTAAATGGTTTTTCACCAGTATGAATCATGATGTGAAGATTTAAGTTTCCCAAGTGTGAAAACCTTGCATTACAAGTATTACATTCAAACTTTTTTTCTCTCATATGACACTTTATGTGAGATATTAAGCGTTTTTTAAATAAAAACTCTTCACCACAAATATCACATTTATAAGATTCTTCAGCCTTTGGTTTAGTTGGTGTTGATGCAACACAATTATCTTCAGTTATATTCTGAGCTCCGAAACTTAATATTGTATATTTAGGATCATTTGTGTAGCTGAAATAATAATTTATATTTTAATAAGTTTAACATAGTTGACTTTAATGACTAACTGCTTAAATATAACAATTAACCATTGTAATGCAACTATAATTCACTTAAATATTAAGTTTGCATACCTAGAAAAATAGTTATAGTTAGACATCGAGATAGCTGAGATCTAGATGCATAACAAAAAATGAATTGAAGGTTAAGCCCAATTCTTATTTAAAAAATGTATTGTGATTAATATTATTAAGATAAAGGGAAAAAAATTGAAGACTAACTTTATACAGTATTTTTTCTTAAATTGTTAATATAAGTGCATAATTTCAAAATATAATATTATAGACATTTTATGGAAAATAATCATCTAACTACAAAACAATTTAGAAATACTACAGTAGTCTGTATAGTTATCTCATATAGGCTTAATTATACTAACTTGCATCTTGACTGTACAGTACCTACCCATAGATAAGATAAATTAGATGTTACAGAACAACAAATGGTCAAGAATACTTCTAAAAAATGCTAATACTTATTTAATGTTATATATATATAAATAAAAAATAATTATATTAAAGATAAATTTTTCAAATATCAAAAAGTAACTATTTATATATATGATAAGTTATAAAAATGATCAACAATCAATTGGCTCATCAGAATACCGGGAGTTACAGGTGGGCCGATTTACTTGGATTACAAATTGTTTGATAATATTTAACTGTGTGCCTGAGTTAATTATTTTTATTTTAAGCCATCAATATTTTTTAAAATTTGTTTTAATATTTTGTACCTACTCCGAGAAGAGCGATGAAAATATTAAATATAACAGGTGTTATTAAAAAAAAATTTTTAAACTGTTATCACTTTTTAAAGCAGTAATAATGATTCTATTTTCTATTGCGACATCTTTTTTTTTAAGAATGTTTATCTAGTTGTAAATTTGGGTGATCATAAAAATAAGTTATGTAGAAACATGTTAAATGTATATTATACTAAATTATAAATAAAATAATTCCTAAAAAGATTATAGATAATTTTATATGAAAAACAAAATGTACCTAACTGATTTTCAACTAAGTAAGATATTTTTATTCTCTAATTGATTTGTAACTTTTACAAATTAAAAAAGAAATAAAAGTAATTTTTAACACAAAACATTTTTCTATATTAACTTAAAATTTAAGTTAAAATATTTAGTTTAACTAATTATGAATATGTATACTATTTAAGAAATACTAATTTCATATTAACTAAGATTACCAGCAAAATATTGTTTCGGCAAAATAAAGGTAAACCATTGATGGACAATTAAAACTAAAGGGAGAACACAAAAATAAAAATAATAAGCAACTGACAATCCGTTAAGACTGCCCATAAAGCTATTAATAAAATATTAAGAGGACATGATACCCGCATGAATTGTCTCCGTCTTACAAGTGCGTAACATAACAAAAACTGTTTCGTGTGAGAAAGAACAGAGAAGTCTACAGTTATAAATAAGAAACCAAATTTTCACTATGAAAAAGGAGAACTTTAACTGTGTCCCAGCATTTTATTTTTTCGATAAGACCAATGTATGAAAAGTTATTGAAATTTGAAAAACTTAAAAATATCAGATTTTCAAAAGTGTTATAACTTTTTTCTTATCAAAAATATAAAATAAATAAAAACTCCACAACACAGAAAATATTATCTTCTATATTATGTTAACTTTTGGTGTTTCTATTAAAATTACAGTCTGAGTGGCTCTATCCCGCGCTAAACAGATTTTGTAATGTTATACACTTTGTTGATGATAACTAGGGCCCGGAAGTTCATGCATTTGCATGTTTTAAATGAGTGCATCAAAAAGTTGCTGGATGAGCTACAAATTTGATTCACTAACTGATGAGTTCAAAAATGAAATTTTAGTTTGCATATTTTTGTTTATTTTGAGGTTTTTTACATAAATATGCATATGTTAAAAAAAATTGCATTTTACCTTTGAAAATTTGTTTTTCATTAATATTTCATAGAAATTTCGAACTTTGAGTATAAAAACCTGTTTAAAATTATACAAGTTCTACTCATAGACCTTAAACTAATATATAATATCGATACTGTCACTGCAATACCACGTAAATAACATTTTTTTTGAAAATGACATTTTGGTATCACTGTATAGATTATAATTTTCTCTA